TGAGCTAATTTTGGTTACCATTGACCATGTCTTGTGAGAATGTAAAGATATTGCTTACATTTTTTCCTTTAAGAATATAGAAACACATGGAAAGCTATCTGAAGAGAAGAAAAATACGATGCTTGGTCTCACAGATCCATTAGATATGTTGAGAGGTTTGTAACTGTTAACTGCATAATCTCAGACATTACTGCCTCGTGTCACTGATCTTAGAGTAAGTGGCATACAAGTATACTAGTGTGCAAACGAGATAAAACCCTTAGTTGAAAATAGAATGCCAAATTAAATTTTCTTGCAAATCGGGACACCGGAGACATAGAATAATAAAGATATAGAGGGAGAAAGAGATAAGTGACCAGAATGGGAGAATTTGGAAGAGAAATTTTCAGTATGCTAAATATAGCACGTTAATGTTTGAATTATGAGTAATATTATTTAGTATCATTGGTGTTAAACAAAAGTATACGTGGCACTAATGTGGTGTTAAATGAGAGGTACAATTGGATGAATCACTTAGGGCCTGTTTGATAGGTACATTTTCCATGTCTAATTCCATTTTCCACCATTTTGGTATGTTTGATTGCAAGAATTTTACCTGGAAAAATGTTTTCCCACGTGACCCATTTTCCATGAATTTGTGGAAATTGATTTTCTGTAGGTTTTGGTGGGAAATCAATTTCCAGGTGGTTTTATTTTTTTTTTTTTTTGTAACAATGGAAATAAATTTTATCCACAATTGTAACAAGTTATATCCATTTAATTGATAATTTACGTGAAAAATAAAGCCAAACGGACACCAAAAGATACAAAATTTCAATATTTTTTAGGGGAAAAATTATACGAATTAAACACATTTAATTGAAAATTATCAATAAAATAAGTTTTAGGCAATTCAATTTCCTGAAATTCGTTTTTGTTTTATCCAAATTCCATCCATGTAATCAAACGGATCCTTAATTATATCTTTCATTGAGCCTATCACATAATGCCACTGAGTCTGATATTCTAGCAACAATGGTGCTAGATAGTATTATTATTGAATTATATAATAGACCTAATTATTTGTGACGATTCCTAACAATAAGGCACTTATTGAAATTACAAATTGGAAACATTCATAATGGTTGGTAAGGACCTATTTTCTTTTTATCTCCTAATAGATCTAGCAATGAGACGAAAGGAGTGATGAAAAAGATCTCAAATTTTTGAGGAATGGGGTTATGCTTAATAGATGTATTCTAGATTGAAATCTCTTGTGGAATACTATGTCAACCATTAGGAACACATTGATCCAATTCACAAGACTAATTTCGCAACTCTACAACATCATAATTGAAGTGTCTTGTCCTTCTCTAAAAAGCCTATTCTGAATGCTTTCCAGGTTAAAATGCTATGAAATAATTTGACTATCATATTCTGCAACAGAAACCTTCTCAATATCATTTCTCTTGAAACTGAATAGGATAAAACATTAAAATTATGGGGAAAGTGGGAATTGCTGCCTACAATTGATTATCAACGTTTTAGTGGTGGAAAAACTCATTAATTTAAGGTTATGTGACTCAAAAAAATTGATCTAGTTGTTGAAATAGAAGTTTGAAGCAAGCACGTTTGCAAATTGTTCGCTTGTGGGCCTGTGAAGAATTTATTGTAGAAAATTACCATAAATAATTTTAGTTATGATTATAATTTAGAGGCAAATTGTAGATTAATGAGAGGTGAAGCTAATATATATCAGATTTATGAACGAATTAAGAGCTCTGATAGTTGATGCAACAAATAAAGGTTGATCTTAGAGGTGCAAAATTCAAGTGGTGAATGTTTTGTACAATGAAATTGATGAACTTTCTATATTAGATTTTAAGTGCAGCACTCTTGCAAAACTTGGCTGTAATAATGCAAACATAAATTGTTTTCTCACTTAACATTTATTTCATAAAAGAGATGTGTTGATGATGATTTCAGAGATATTTCGAACCTACTGCTTTTGTAATTATTCTGATCCTTTTTTGACTTGAGAAAATTAAACTAAAGTTAATGAAACATAAGCTTGAGCTACAAAGTAGGTGTTCAATGTTGTCTTGTAATCTTTATCATATGCCCTGAGCATTTGGTAGTCTTGAACAGGTTTTAATGGTCCAATTCAACACTCAGTTAATCAATCATGATTGACAGCAATTTCTGTTTGGAAGTCGTAAATTTCCCTTTTCTTAGTTTGTGCATGCAAAAATAGTAGTTTTGTAATACATCTTGAGTTTGTTATTTTATTTTTATATTTCACAGATGACATGTAGTTCGATAGTATCCTTTTTTTAATTAAGGTGTGCACAGATTTTGAAACATATTTTTGGATAGAAAATATGAAAAATCATTGCCTTGTTCAAGATAGAGGGCAAACCATACATCAGCTAAACGTTCATTTTGTTTTTATGATGCTTTCCTTATAGGTGGCTAACTTGTCAAGTTAAAACTCACAGATGAATTGTTTTTATTTGTTATGCAGCTATGACTACTCAGGTTATGGGCAGTCATCAGGAAAGGTAATTGGAAGTTACTTTTCAATAGAAGTCTCCTTGTATTATTAAGTGATGGGTTGTTTGTGAGCGCCTGTTGAAATTAGTATGTTTTCTGTATTTCAGCCGAGTGAGCATAATACCTATGCAGACATTGAAGCTGCGTACAAGTGTCTTGAAGAGAGTTATGGTGCCAAGCAAGAAGACGTCATTCTTTATGGTCAATCTGTTGGAAGTGGTCCTACTTTAGATCTTGCAGCTCGATTGCCTCGTCTAAGAGCTGTTATTTTGCACAGTCCTATTCTGTCAGGCTTAAGAGTCATGTATCCTGTGAAACGCTCATACTGGTTTGATATCTATAAGGTAATGCTTGGTTACTGATGTATACGTTTCTTCCGGTTATATATCTTTCTAATACCATTCTTACTATCCTTGCTCTCAAGTGGATGTGTCCTGATGCCTGCCTGACTGAATGTTTCTTCATGTTGATGTGATGCAGAATATAGACAAAATCCCATTGGTGAAATGTCCAGTTCTTGTTATTCATGTAAGTGCAGATTTTGGTATATCTTGCTTCTTGCAATAATATGGAGCAATTATTCACATTATGTACATCTTTACTCCAGTGGACACTTTACTGTTGAGAATTTTCTGCGTTTTCCATATAAATTATTTGTATAGAATTCTCATTATTCAACACGAGCAAGCTTATATACTTGCAGTACGGTTCTTGATGTTTCCTTGTGTTGATATTAGTTGGTTTCATCATTCATATGCAACCAAAGTTCAAATATGGCTCATTGATTTTTCACTATTCACTTCTACTTACCATATTTTTGTGCAGGGCACTTCTGATGATGTTGTAGATTGTTCTCATGGGAAACAACTTTATGAACTATGCCAAGAAAAGTATGAACCATTATGGCTCGAGGGAGGAAATCACTGTAACTTAGAACTGTATCCTGAATATCTCAGGCACCTAAAGAAGTTTGTTTCTACAGTCGAAAAACCACCCTCCCAGAGGAACACGTCAAGGAGAAGCATAGACCGGCCTGAACATTCCCGAAGGAGTACTGATTGTTTTGAGACTCCAAGGAAGAGCACTGACCGGAGGGAGAAACCCAGACGGAGCACTGATAGGCCTGAAAAACTAAAGAATTATGAATACAAATTCCATAATGACGATAAGGTTTCCAAGTTGAGGATGTATTCTGACCATGGAGAAAGATCTCGGAGGAGTGTAGAATATCACGAAAAGTCTCGGAAGAGTATTGATCATCAGCTCGAGAAAGCACGCAAGAGTGTGGATTGGCTGGATAGAATACGAGCCGTGTAAAACTCTATTTGTTTCTGTGCTATTGTTGTGCAATTTGTTAATTGGAGGTAAGAAAGCAATAGGGATTAGGAAAGCATCTAATTATGATTGAAGTTATTTTATCGAGTCATGCATGAAAAACACACACTAGTTGCGAATTGATCAGCGAACCTGTCCTTGAAAGATTGTATTTTATCGAAACATGCTTGAAAAACCCACACTAGTTGCGAATTGATCAGTGAACCTGTCCTTGAAAGATTTTTTAGAGAGTATAAATATGAAATAAATGAATTGCTTTTTCTATAAGACTTGGAGCTTTTAGGGAAAGATGTGATTGTAAAGTAAATCTTTTTCCGTGCTAGTTATTGCAGTGTGACTTTTTCCTTCTTGTTGTAAGACTTCGTTGATGAGGAAACCAATTTAGAGTGAATTTAGCAGTAAGACTTGATTAATGGAAAATAAACTCATCTCACCAAATATGTTCCAAGAGAAATATGTGAAGAGACCCTTGTGACTTTTAAAAATCATCCGATACAATCAACACACAATATTCACTTTATATCATATAGCATGACTGATAACTCTCTTATGTGTATTATATGCATAATGCTCGGCTGACTAGAAAGTCGGAAGGCCTCCCCTAGGCAACCTCGATGTCGCCTTTTTTTGTAGATCAATATTGGGAACAACAGCAATTGAAGGTTATATTGACTATTGAAGAGTTTTGACGTTAATGCATTAGAAACTAGAAGTTAATTGCGAAATTCCCATTAAGAAACCATCCCTGGACTAGAAGAGGTACAAAATTAGAGTGCAAATAGAAATTTATCTAAGAATACTAGTACAAAAGGGTTTGGAAAAATGGACTCTTGCTCCTGCATCAGATATAGTTAATGAGCTCCCTGTCGATAAGGCTTGCTTGCTACTTGATTTAAAGCTGATCAATTCACAACTAGTAAGATGAGGACAAGCTATATGGACTGATAATCTAAACAGTAAGCTGATGAGCTCACGTGTTTGATGACTGATGATTAAATTTGATCAGCTCACAGATATCTGATGAAGCTGAGGTACGAAGATATGTATACAGTAGACTGATGGGCTAAAGAGAAGACCGATAAGCCCCATAGTTATTATCTTTCGATGTGTTCATTTTCCATGTTATCATGATATAGTTGTCAATGCAACAATTTATTCATATAACCCCTCTGTATGTTTCCAGCATACATTCATTACCACAATCTTTTACGCTGACTATCAGCACTTACACCATCAGCATAAACATAAAATGTAGGACAGACACAAAACATTAAATTTTCAAAGCATAATTCTCATATCACGATATACAGAATTAAAAAAGACCATAAACTAGGCATATTTCATGGAAGAACATAGGAATGGGGTGACCTTGCCAGCTTGTTGCATTAACCGTAGCATCTGATTGGGTCAGTGCACCCTTTAGCAGCTGACTGTTTCAGACCTTGGCCTCCACCCTTCTCCAGGTATTGCTGGTGGTACTCTTCTGCTCGATAAAATTTCTTTGCAGGAAGAATTTCAGTGACAATCCTCTTATTCGGGAATTCATTCTGCTTTGCTTCCAGTGATTCACGTGCCAACTGAGCCTGAATCTCATTGTAGTAGTATATTCCAGACCGGTATTGAGCCCCCACATCATTTCCCTGTGGAAAAATGCATTTAACTTGGTAATTCATTACCACCACTAAGCCTATCTACATAAAAATAAATATGAAACAAAGATATCTCAAGATCTTATTGTGTTAAAAACTATTCTTACGGTTAAGGCGCAATGTTCCCCCTTTCGTTGTCGAGTAAGTGCTGATAAGGGATTGCTGTTATAATAAAATAACAACATATGCGAGATTCAGTCTACAAGCCCAATTATCTTAGGAGTCAAACAAAAACACGGTTTTGTCCCCTCCCTATTGTAATCTCTTGCTAATATCAATAAAACAGTCGGGAAGTGGGAAACCCTGCACCTAGGGGCACGCGGTGTTAACTCAAGAATTAATCCAAAACGAAGTATAGAATATGTTATTTCCTTGAACTTTAGCAATGTCAATTTCATGATTCTGCGATAATGAAGTTGCAAATTATTTTTCACAAAGGAAGTGAGGTGCAATTGATCCAGGTACTAAGTAAAATACGTACTCGAAACTGAAAAGGAAGTGAGTTGCAATTGATCCAGGTACTAAATAAAATATATACTCGAAAGTGCTGCCCTAATACCACAACTGGTTGCAGCAGCACCCAACAAGAAAATAATTACATGAAAGTAAGATTATGGATGCTAGGGTTTCCTGTAATTTTCATACTGTGAAAAGCCATTCTTATACAGAGAATTGCCATAAATACGAGGTGGGGATTCACTGTAATTTTCCTGTTCACTGAAAATAATTACATGAAAATAAGTTTATGGATGCAAGGGTTTCAATAATTTGAAACAATCTAATGTCATGTGGAGAGCAATTGGGGAAGGAAAGGATTCAGAACTAGAAGAAAGAAGGGAGAAGAAGGAAGAAAGGAGGGAGCCAACTATAATATCAGAAATCCATATGTGTGCGACGTCATTTGGTGTAAGTTGTGCAGTATCGTTTTGGTTTAATTGAAATTTCAATAAATTAGTTAATGTTTTTGGTTATTGCTGGAGTTAAAAGCACGGTTTTTTAGAAACACTATAGATACAGAAATGGTGCGAATTGCATTTCAGTTTTTTCATCCGACATTTCAGTAAAAATTTGTTGAGAGATTCATCAGTTATCCTTGTCTTGTTCTTCTTATTTTCTAATTTCTCCCACCACATATTCTATTTTCTTCTTAATTTGGTTGAGTTACAGTTAAAATCATCTGGGCAGAGTCCATTTCTGTGTTGCAGTTGTAGTGAAGCTTTGGTTTGAGTTTAAGCCGTGACAAATTGGTATAAGGGCAACTGAGTAACTGGGTAAGTGAAATCATGGATACTAGAGCTAAGTTGGTTGATGTCATCTGAATAAAACTGGTTTGGAATAGCCAATTTGAGAACTGCATTCATGGCAATTACCAATAGGCTGGAGGGGAAGTTAGATTCCACAGATCGAAGTCTACAAGTATTTGGGCACAGACAGGAGAAAATGGAGAGTGTAGTTCTAGACATGAACCTAAAATATGAGAAACTGGTGAATATGGTGGCACAATTGACATCCGATTTGAGAGCAGACCAAAAGAACAAAGGAGTAGAGGAGGCTACCACAAACACGAGATCCGAGAGTGGGCTAACTCTACAAGGATCTGATGAGCTGGAGAGTGGAAGTCGTATATGGGGCGAATACAGAGGAAATGCTAAACTACCCAAAATCGACTTTCCTCATTTTGGAAGAGAGGGGCCTAGGGAATGGCTGAGGAAGGCTGGGAAGTATTTCCAACTCCACCAGGTGGCTGACAACCTTAAATTGGGAATTGCTGAAATGTATTTGAAAGGAAAGGTGGATATCTGTTTCTATGGTTTTATTGCAAGCCATCCAAATGTGGACTGGAATGTATTTTCTGTAGAGTTATGCCAGAGGTTTGCGGATAACACAGGAGAGGAAGTAGTAGAACCATTTAGTAAAATCGAGCAGGTAGGATCCATGGCAGAATACCAGGAAAGATTTGAGGAATTAAAGGCCTAAGTGATGGTTTCCTTACCACATGTTCCTGAATCTTATTACAGTTTGTTTTCACAAGTGGCTTGAAGGGGGAAATCAAATCTATGGTGAAGATGATGAAGCCAGATACATTAGCCAAGGCTTTTGAAGTGGCAAGCCTCCAGGAGTCCACTATTATGGCCATCGATAAGTTTCAAAAACCTAAGAGTTTTGTACCTACTCCAAACAGATGGAGCTCTCATCCTATCAGACCACCTGATGAAGTGAAACCTGCAGAATCAGGTCTCAAAACTAATAGAACAACCGACAATTACAGAACCATTACACCCACAGACTTATAAACTAAGAGCAATTTGGTTCTATGTTACAAATGCGATGAAAAGTACACCATAGGCCATATCTGCAAGAATAGGTCCTTAAACTTCATATTAGTGGGTGAGGATGAGGAGACTGATCCTAATAAAGCCAAGGATCCTGACTGTGATGAAGAACAGGGGTGTAAGGAAGTTATGGAGATTTCAATCAGTGCATTGGCCAGAAATCCCAAGCATAAAGCTATTAGAGTTCCAGGAGTGATCAAGGGAAGAAAAATTTCTATCCTCAATGATAGTGGAAGCACTCAGCTTTGTAGATGAGAAACTAGTCAAGTAATTGAACTTGCCCACTGATGAGTCCAACGTGATGGTAGTGAGGGTGACCAATGGGATAAGATTGAAAGTGAAACTGTATGCCAATACTGGTGTGGAGGGTACAGAACTGGGAATTCCAATTTCATCTATGGACTTTAAAATTGGGGGACAGTGATATGGTATTGGGAGTTAACTGGATGAGCCAATTTGGCCCTATTGTTTTTTCCTTTGGGCAGGGTTGCATCAAGTTCAAAATCCATAATGAAGAGGTAGAATTGAGGAATGAAAGGCCAGAACAATCGGTCAGAATAATGGAGTTAAATTAAATGGAGAGAATGTTCAACAAG